TCTTTCTTTCTTTCTTTCTTTCTTTCTTTCTTTCTTTCTTTCTTTCTCTCTATGGGTCTGAAGTCACTGAATTATCACATTTGAAATAGAAGATGGCCCTTGAAGGGTGTGAGAGAGGCTAGCTTGCCAGCTTCCAAGATTTGTGCGTCTTTACTCATTCATGCCATTCATACTGTGGCTTCCGGGCAGCTGAGTTAGGGTGTCGCAGCCCTGTTTTTTCCTAGCTACCCATTTCTTGCCAAGAGCTCAGCCTTTGAGCCCTCTTCCTTAGGGTAAGCCCAGCTCAAATGGCCTGACTCATGTTCAGATCCCACATGAGTGTCCCTGAGGTTTCCACAGCTCCTGGTAACTCTGGTCCCCTGGCATCTGTGATCTGCCTCATGCCCAGGGCCAAGGTGCTCCCAGGAGCCTCATTTTCTGGTGTTCATCCATTGTTTTGCAGCTGAAGAAAGGTTGTAGGATTAGATGTGTGCAGAGGTGGCCCAGGTTCTTGGGCAGCATTCAGTATCTGTCATGGGAGGGGGTCGAGGCTGTAATGTTTGTTGCCTCCCCAGCCCCCAGCTCAGGGAAGACCAAGGATCACAGCATAGTGCCAAGATGGCAGTCTGTTTCCTCGAGTCTCGAGGCAGCAGGTTCCATCCCTTGGAAAACGGAGACCTGAAGAGGCACTACCCACCCTTAGATTTCTCTTGGTTTGAGAAAACGGTGCCGTTCATTTTCTGTGGCTCCTGTAACAAGTGTCCACAAGCACTGTGGCTGGAAATCTGACGATGGGAGTGGGAGAGTTGGTAGGACTGGAGGCCCCAGGAAAGAGCCCACCTTGTCACCCTTTCTAGCCTATAGAGGGCACGTGCTTTCCTGAGCTCGGTGGCTTCTAGCTTGGCTTCCCCTGTCTGCAAAACCAGCAGCACTGCCTTCACACCTTCCACTCTGACAATCCTGTCTTCTATTCTGATTCTGTCCCTCGTGTGGGAGTGAATGAGTGTGTGCGTGTGTGTGTGTGTGTGTGTCTGTGTGTGACAGGATCTTATGTAGTGCAGGCTGGCCTCAAACTTGCTCTGCAGTAAGGATGACCTGGAACTCCTTGTCCTCCTCCGTCCACCTCTTAAGCACTGGGATTACTGGTAGTCAAACCCAGGGCTTGGGGCAATCGAAGTCAGCATCCTCTTAACTAGGCTGCATCCTTATCCCAAAGGCAGTTTATAGGTACGTTGGGCCACTTTGGAAACCCAAGATAATCACCCCATTTCAAGATTCCTAATGTAACCTATCTGTAAAGTACCCCTTGCTGTACAGTGTAGCAGGTTCACAGCTTTCATCCACAAATGAAATCAACAGGCAGCTTTTCAAATTTTGTAATGTGGCCAATGGATGGTGTGTTTTGCCTGGACAGCCTTTGACTTTTGCAGGGCCTAAGTTGCTTTAGCTTGGCTTTCTCTTTTTACATCGTACCATTGGAATTGGAGGCCATCTCTACTGGTTCCCAGAAGCAATAGCTCACATCCTTGAAGGCAGCTGGAAGGTTCTGGTTCTGGTGACAAAGAGATAATCCCGTTTGGGTCTGACTTGTCTTCACGCTAAGGAGGAGGAACTGAGTGTAGACACTGTGCTCAGGGCTTTCCCTGGGCACCTACTGTGTGCAGGCACCACGGGGAGTGCTGCTGCTGTGTCCCAAGCTTTTAGAGGCCCTAGGATCCGTTGCCTTCCCAAAGGCAGCTGTCAAGGGAAGGAGCCCAGATGCAGTTGCAGGTTGCGTAATCTTAGCTGTCAGAGAAAATAGTGAGAGCCCCACTCCCACATGCATGGTAAGGTTATTTAACTGCCTTGGACTGTCCTTTAAGTTTTGCAAATGGCAGGCTTAGTTCAAAGTGGGGCAGAAAACAGACAACGTCATATTCCTAAAGACAGAGAGGTCGCAGCAATTTTCACCAAGCATGCAGCTCCAGCATTGCAAGGAAGCAGAATCTGCCATGAACATGTCAGGCACGGGACTTACTCAGAAGTCTCCGTGAAAGCCAAGTTTCAAAAGTGAACTTTAAGAAATCCTTAGGCTTCCGCGGGGCCCAGGCTGCCTTTGTTTTGTTTAGTGGGTTTTGGGGAACGGACGGCCAGTGCTGCTTTTCCTGCCACAGAGCACGGTAAAGCGAGCGCAGTGCTGAGACCTTCCTTAGTCTTGTGCCTGTTGCATTCCCGGCAAGAGTGGGCCCATGTATGTTGTATTGCATTCCCGGCAAGAGTGGGCTCGTGTATGCTGTAAACACACATTGTGCCTGCGTTTACAGTGAGTGGGAGTAAGAGAAAAGGGCAGGCCCCTGAGAGCTCTCAACAGTACATGAAAGAGCAGGGGTCTGTGGACGCCAGCAACTCCGTGGCTGGCACTGCAGGTAGAGAACAGCCAACAGAATGAGGAAGCCACCAGATTTTGCCTCAAAGCCGGTTAAAATGCTATGTAAGAAAATGCTGTTTTGGCCAAGCCTGGGATAATGGTTTTGATTTATATTTCTGTTGCCATCTGGAGTTCCTGAGGTTTGGGTTGGGAATGGATGGTTGGGGAGAATCACCTCAATCCTTTTGGGCTTGCTATGGGAGGTTCTAGAAATAAACTTAAATAATTCTTATTTGATGTAGTGGTAGTTTTTCAACCCCACTGATGACCAGGAAAGCTCTGAGGCCCTTCTTCATGCTCTACAGATATTCTGTACTTTTCTTAAAAACTCTTAAACAACAAACAAACAAAACCCAAACCTCATAGCACTTGAGAGGAAGAGGCAAAATCAGGAGTTCAAAGCCTGCCTTGGCTGTATAATAAGTACGAGGTGAACCCGGGCCACATGGAAGCCTGTCACAATCCCCTTTCCAGCTCCTCCCCAGAATGTAATGCCACTGTAATCAGTTGCTGGGTTCACTGACATGTCAATTTGTGGGAAAGAGGAATAGTGGAGTATCCACAGAAAGTATCCCTTTCTGCTGTGTGCTTCAGGGAAAATGCTCAGTTGGGTGGCAACAAAAGCACAGGGGCAGTTCTTTGCCCTGGGGCAGATGTGGCTTGCCAGAAGTCCTTGCTTTCTCAGGGCATGGATTCATTGCCTTTGCTTCTTGGTCTGGCTTAACTAGAAAGTGCTGGCAGAGGCATCTCCCCAAGAAAGCTCACTTGCCAAGAGGGTGTTTGGTGGAGTTACAGCAGAGTCATAATAACAAACCAATTTGACATTTTCTCAGCCTCTTCAGCCCTGTATATGACCCTCGTTGTGATTGCAGGGCTCCAAAGTGGGAAGAGATGGCATGAACCAGGGCTCAGGCCATGCTGCCCTGCAGAGCTGGGCTTCTGTCACTGGCTTCCTGTTTGCTCTGGATATCCCAGGGGCTCTGCCAGCATGGAATAACTTTGCCCTTCTGCCACAGGTAGAGCAAGTCAGCCAGCTGGCCGTGTTTGTAGAGGCGACATTAGACTATCACAGGCAGTCCACAGAGATCCTCCAGGACCTGCAGAACAAGCTAGAGCTACGGTAAGCGCCTTGGCCTTGCTTAGGCAGGGGCGGGAGTGGGCGCCACAGGAGCAGATAGTCTGTTTCCCATCCTGTTTGGAATTTTCTCTAGCTGGTTTTCAGGTAGGGTATGAGATGAGGGCTAAAATAATATATATTTAGCTTGGGACAACAGGGCAGAACTGGGTAAAGGACTGTAATGGCTTTTCTCCTTTTCAATTAAATTTTTTTTTATTAATATCCCCTTTTTTGTGCCCCACATTTAAAGCATACAGGCACCTCAGCTAACCTGTCTGTGAAGTCAGCCCCTGTGGCTTTCTTGCTGACAGGAAGGGTTAGCTAGCTCTCTGTTGCCCTGTTGAGGGTAGAGTGTGTGCTCTACCCCCAGAATCAGGGCTGTGAAGAGAGCCAAGTGATACTCAGAACCATGTAAAAGCCCAAGGAAAAAAGTATTATCAGGCTGTGTTCATAAGACTGATTCTAGGCACTGGGACAGCCAACGATACCTTCTGAATGATGAAGTATTCTCTGACTTGGGTCTTTCATGGTCAATCAATAGAATCCCTACTTTCTGACAATCGGTAATATCATTTACAAGGTGTGCAGCAACCTTCTTAATCAAATTACTGGGCTTAACAACAGAAAAGTGTTTTACATAGGATTATGGTGATGAATAAATCTGGAGGGATTTTTGCTTCCGTCAGCACTGTAGTTACAGAGGTATGGCCCTTCCTGAAGCATGAGCTTTGGTAGGCAGATGCCCAGCTAGGTATCATGTGAGCATATTTGGATGGTTCCCTCTCCAGTGGAGAGGAAAGAGGGCAGCTGGCTTAGGGGAGTGTCCACTTGATTAGCCTCAGGGACATTACGAGGACATCTCTTCCAGACGAATTTTGACTGGAAACTCAAGCACATAATGGAAGAGCTGTGTTGGGTCACACCCCTGACACAGGCTCTGAGGAGTCAGTGCACAGTCCCTGCTCTCATCGCACATTGGGCCTGGCTCCCCTCAAGGAAAGCAGGGCTATGGAGGTTCTGCTGTCTGGGAGAGGGTCTCACTTGACCTCCTATGTGTGTTACAGAATAGCTTATGCGTCCAAAGTCCCCAAGCGAGAATATCTGTCAAAGCCTGTGAACACGAGTTCCGGCGACATCAATGGGGTCACCACCAGTTCCTCATCAAAGATAACAGGTGAGTTGACGCTCTGAAGTGGGTCAAGTGGGGTTTCCAGTTTTTGCACATTGCTGAGGCTGTTGGGGGAATGCACTTGAGAAACTGATGGTCTTCCCTTGGTTGACTGATGAGTTCCCTGGGACTGGGGAGAAGTCTATCTGGTACTAACGTCTTCTAATGTGGCCCTTAGGCAGCCCCTTGGCTAGAGAACCATAGTTGCTATGTTATCTTTTATATTGAAAGGTTTAATGTCTTCGAACTATCTTCCCGACTGTTAGACAGTTTTAATTAGAATTCTCTGGGCACTCGAGTTGTGCCTGACACTGTCTTAAGTAGTGTGCTGTTAGATTTTAGACTTACGCTCTAGAGTGAAGCTAGCAGAAAGACGTTCAGCTGCAGTATATTTTCCCACACTCTCTGTGATTTCCAATGTTGTCTGGTCTCCTCCCTCGGCCTAACCTCTCCGAATAACTGGGTAGGAACATTGTCCTGTCTGTGCTGCCACACAAAAGCAGTTGTGTTTTATACAGTTTTCTTTCCAAAGAATGCATCGCTCTTTCTTGTAGTTATTTCCGTGTTGTGCACAGGGCTCTCGCACTCTGTTTAGCAACTTCCTGGCTTTGCTTGGTCCCTAGTAACTGCAGCAGTGACTGCCCTCACCTGCCTTGGTACGAAGCTGAGCAAGACTTTCTAGAAATGAAATTGCAGAGTCGTGAAGGCAAGGGGTGGGGTGTGGTTGTGCTGCTAGTGTTTACATGGTGGTGGGTAGTGCCAAGTGACACTCCAAAATGGCTACGCGATGTTGCTGTGTCCAAGACCTCATTTTCCCCAAGCATTTCTACATAAAATTGCTGTTCAAATCTCCATTCGGACCTTTTTGAAATCACTAGATTAGCTATTTTTTGATGTTTTAATTGGTCACTGGTATTTAAGTTATATCACTTGTTTCCTTTTAGAAAATTGGCCTTGCCTTTGTGATCTGTAGGAAGCCACTACATATGGATTATTAATAGCTTTTCTTACCCAGTTTGTCACCTACCCTCATACTCTGGGAAGTGTTCTCTTTGTTTGGTTTTGTTTTATTTGCATTGTTTAATTTTGTTTTGAGGGTGTAGACACTAATTCTGGTGTAGCCAACATTGATATATTTTTGTTTATGATTTGTACATTTCATGTTCATCTGAGAAGTCTTTCTGTCTCCAGGATTATTCTGCTCTGCTTTTCTATTGCTTTAAAAACCTATTCCTTGATGTCTAGGTTAGTTCTTTGTTAGGCTTCCAGAGTGGCTGAGCCATCTTATGTTCCCACCAGCAACGTGTACGATTGTCTGTCCGTCCACCCTGGTGCAGCATCTGCTGATGCTTTTCGTTTAAGCCAGTTGGAGAATGATGCGGACCGTCATGCGCCTGTCTGCTGTGCGTGTTCTTCTGGGAGAAACATCTCGTCACATCTTCACTCATTTACAATTGAGTTATTTCTCTATATATTACTGAGCTTTGTTGGTTTCGTACACAGGCTAAATAGAAGTCCTGTGAGATAGACATAGAGTTTTCCATGTATTCTTTCTGTGTCTTAGTTTTGTATTTTTTTAGTGAAGCCTTCACAGGCTAGAATTTTTAGTTGTTAAGTCCCATGTCTCAGTTTTCCTTCTTACAGCTGTGCATTTGCTGAGCATTCTCTGCCTTGGATGCTGAAGATAATTACCCCATGCTTTGGTGAAGTCCACAATCCATATAGAGTTTCTGTTCACACAGGCGTGAGACTTGGTATTCATCTGCTTTGGAACACACATGGTCAGAGAAGCTTAGGTTTGAGTTTTCTCCACATTGTCTCACAGGTGTTTTTTTTTTTCTCTTTCAGTGAAAATTCAAAACTATCAAGTGTAATCTGCATATGTTTTAAAAAGAAAATGGAGCTGGAGGGTTAAAACTGTGACAAACAGCAGCTTACTTTCCAGCCCTAGGATTATTTCCTGCTCCCAGAAGGAACCACTTCCTGTTGTGTTTTTCCCTCAATTAACATTTAACTCCACAGTTCAGAATAAAAAGTTTGGATTATTCTTACTTTGTTCTGGTCACTCTTGCTTTCCTGATATGGAAGCTGAGGCTCCTCTGTCTCCCATACAGTCTCTGCCCAGCCAGTGTACTTACAATCACCATTTAAAATACACATCTGTGTTTCAAACATGATGCTTTTCATTCAGGAGTCTTAAAATGCCCCCTCTCTTGCTTTTCCTGCTTTGCATGCATTTGCCTCTGTTTCCCATTGATGTTACAGCTTTCAGTGAACTGTTGCATTCGGAAGGTGGGTATCAGGGAAGTGGCATGTGCTCTCTCTCTCTCTGTCTCTCTCTTCCTTACTCCTCACCCCTTTCTCTCTCTCACACACCCCACTTCTTTCGTGCTGTCTCCACAGTCTTCTTTAAAACCCTAGGGTCTCCAGGCCAGTGTGTGCCACACACTAGGTTGGATGAACAATCGCAACAGGATTACCCCTGCCACTTGGTTTGTTTGCAAGTTCTACCTGGTGGCCTTCTGCACATCAAATTTTGCACATGTGTTTTTATTTTATGTGAATGAGTGTTTTGCCCGCCTGTAGTACCTACAAAGTCCAGAAGAGGGCACCAGATCTTCTGAAACGAGAGTGAAAGTTTTGTACTGCTATGTCGGTTGCTAGGAACTGAAACTGGGTCTTCTGCAAGGTAGTCACTGCTCCTACCCACTGAACCATCTCTTCAGCCCCTTTCTGTCATTAAAAAATAAAACAAACAGTTCTGCAGTCTGCGTGCAGGTTTCTAGTTTATAATCTACAGTAATGATTTGGAGCATTAGGAGTAGAAACATAATGTTCCCAGATTGGGGAGATGGCCTACTTGTTGGTGAGGGTGAGGACTGGAGTGTGAACTTCTGGTGCCCATGCCGCCCACGTAAATGCCAGCTGGGCGTGGTGGGACCCCCGACAGTCCCAGGCTGTGGGAGACAGGGGCAGGATCTTCGGAGCTAGCTGGCTGGCTAGAGAGGGATTGAGGAAGACACCTGACATCAACTCTGGGTTCTACACACAGATGTGCTCCCACGAGACCGTGTATACACACATGCATTTACATCATATATAGACACACATACATGCATGCATACATACATACATACATACTACACACACACACACACACACACACACACACACACACACACACACACAAAGAAGAAATAGTGTTCCAGCCCTGTCACCTGTGTCTGGTGGCCACGCCCTTGTCTTCTCACAGCTTCTTGTGGCCAGGCTCTGCAGTTTTGTGTCTTGGGACGTGTCATGTTCTCTCTTTCTTGGGGTTTTGTTTCGTACCGTTGTTGGCTTTCCAGTTTCTTTGCACTTTCAGGTGAATTTTGGCACTAGCTTTTCTGTCTCCACAACAGGAACACATCCTGATTTTAATTTGGTTTGGGTCAAATCTGCAGATTACTTCGGGGGTGGGAGGGGGAGTTGATGACCTAATCCTACAATGCGCTGACCTTGATCACACACTGTTTAGCCTTCATTTACTGAGATCTTCCATTTTGCTCAGCAGTGTTCTCCAGCGATTTACTGGCAGAATCAATGCAAGAGGAAATGGGTTTACTATGGCGAATGTTTTCGGGAGGTGACGGTCCCAGTGCTGTTGTCACAGAGACTAGACAGATCCGTGGGCCTCCTGGCCAGTAAGAGACCTCATTTCAAACAACAGGTGCACGGTTCCAGAGGCATGGCCCCTGAGACTGACCTCTGTCACCTACAAGCCTGCCCATGAAGGTGATGCTTGCACTCACATGAACATAACCCCCCACGCAAGAAATAATTTCACTTTTCATACTGTCTCTAACCCACCTCTTCTACCAATCACTTACTTTTATCCAGTGCATGTAGTGTGAATTTTGTCCTTTAACATCTTTGAAACTTGTCTTATGGCCCCGAACCCACCCATCGTGGTAAATGTTCATGTGTTCTTGAAAACAATCGGGGCTTCCCTCTTGTTTGTTGCTCTGTACTTGGCAGGCCAAGTTAGACTGTGCTGGCTGCCTCTATTTCCCTGCTGATTTTTGTCTTTTCCTGCTAATTTGTGAGTAAGAAGCATTGAGAATAGTAGTGGTGGGTGTGTCTTCTTGCATCAGAGTTCTGGGAAGGTGGGTTCCATTCCTTTCTCTGTCCTTCACTCCTTTTAACCCAGTTACTCAGATTGGTTATGGATGTGGGGTGTCTTTGTTACCTTAAACACTTTTCCTCCCTCAAATTTCCTACTTTAAACTATTGTTGTTGTTATTTTGAGACAGGGTCTCACTCATAACCAGACTGACTGCTGACTTATTAAACACCTGAGAATGACCTTGAACTTTTAATCTTCCTGCCTCCACTTCCCAAGTGCTGGGACTCCAGGCCTGTGATGCCCTGTGTGGCTTTGGGCTCTTCCTCTTTGTCTCTTTTCTGTCTTTCCGTCTATGTCTGCACTCTGAGGATGTCTTGCTTTGTGGCCTTCTTTTCTTTACCCATTTGTTTATGTCATATCCACAGAGGACAGCTGCTAAATTTTTGTTCAATTGTATTAGTTTCCTGTTACCTTCTTCACAAACTACTATGCATTTTGTGACACAAATCTATACATTTCTTTCTTTACCCTATAGTTCTGGGGACCTAGCCAGCTGCTGGTGTTCTTTCTGGATTCAGAATGCTGCCGAAAGGCCCCTGTCCTAGAAGTTTGGCCTCCAGACCATACCATAGCCTGGCTGAGAGGTGGTAGTAGTTTACCTTATGACACTGGGGCACACTGTTGATGGAGACACTGGGACCCTCCCAGCCTGTTCTTGTTTCTCTGAAGGAAATGAGCAGCTTGGCCACCTGCTATGTATAAAGTGCTGTCTCACCTAAGTCAAATGGGCCAGTGAAGCGCACTAAAGCCTCTGAGACAAACTGTCTGCCTTAAACCTTGTTTCTCTCAGTTCTGTGTCTTAGTGACTGAAATGAAATGAATGGCAAGCCTGAATTCTTGA